TTATTTATTTATTTATTTATTTATTTATTTCCTCCTTTAAAGGAGGAGAACCTGTGGCTTAGTGGTCAACACCAGTGCCTAAGATGTAATACAGCACAGGTTCAAATCCCAGTAAGGGTATGGCTAGCTGATGAGAGCTAAATAGCTTGAAATAGATCTATACTAGTCTCCCTTTATTTATTTATCAGCACAAATTGCAACACACACACACACACACACACACACACACACACACACACACTCACACTTGTGGTAGACCAGAATTTTGCCTGTCGGATTACCATTGGAGTGGGGGAGAATGGAGTGTTTTAAAAAATATTTCTCTTAACATTTAATTAAAAGTCTGGTACATGAACCTGATACTAGGTGTAAACTTTACAACTATATTGCTAAGGTGCGTCCTTTGGAAAACAGTTTTTATTACGAATAAACATGAAGTTTAAAACAAAGGGGGAAAAGAGTGTTTATGGGAGGAAGAAAAGTTTCTTTCGCCGTCCTCTTTCTTTATCGCTTCCTCCGATGGAGAATTTTTCAATCTTTATCCTATCAAGGTTCTACAATTAGTTTTCCCAATCTGGGCAAAAGAGAGGCACGTAATTAGCAGCAACTGGTACCATTTTTCGTGAATAATGAATTTGCTTGAAGAAAATGCTGCTTATGCTTTTCTCTCAATAACGAACAATGGATTAGGCTGTTAATGTTCTCACTATTCGGGATAAAATTGGCCAGACATTCTGTATGCCAATTATTTATTGTACGGGTGGGAAAAAAGGGTCTTTTCTGAATGCTAAATATTAGATGGGAAGGAAATAGCAATTATCTCCATTATCCCTTGGAACACTATATCCTCTTCTTTGTCTCCATTGATTCTCTGCAATTGTTTGAAATATGCGCTTTGCTATTTCCTTCCTTTCTTTCCACCTATAATCCCGTGACCATCGGTGAGGTAGCAAAAAAATAAAATAAAACCTGCAGCTTTGAGTAGAAAAAAAAAACAGAAATACTGATGAATTTTTTTTAAAAAAAAGGGGGGGATGTTGCTTTTCTAGGAAGTTAGTCTCTTTTCCCAAGTCTCACTCTAGAGAAAACTCAAAGATACAAATGTGGAGTTGGAGTTCTAGAGTTAGAAAGAACCTTGGAGATCATCTAGTCCAGCGGTCATCAACTGGTGGACCATTGGTGGTCCATGAGAAAATTTTGGTGGTCCGCAGAAAAATTTATTTGCAATTTTTTATATTGTACTAAATCAGGGGTCCTCAAAACTATAGCTCATGGGATGGATACGTGCAATGAATGTTTGTGTTGCTACAGAGAGTCTCCCACTTTTTGTGCGGGTTGGAGGGGGGCAGAAATTCTGACTTGGGGTCTGCTTCGGCTTCCTGGTGAGGGGCTTTGGGCGAAGGCTGGAGGGAAACGCCACTGGTGGTGAACAGCCGGAGGGCCTCGTTCCGGTGGGATTGCATCAGAGCCTAGAACTGGCTGACCATCTCAGCCCGCTGAGCCTCCAAACGCCGGCACCTGGCCTTGTACTCCCGCAGGTCTTCCGTCTGCTTGGAAAGCCTATACTCCTAGTCCTCAGTGAGGTGCTTCTGCTGAGCCTCCTTCTCGGTCAGAATTTGAACTGAGCCAGCTATTTTGCTAACTCTTTCTCCCGGTGGCTGCTTAGCTCCAACAACTGCTTCCTGTTGGGGCCCTAAGAGACCCAGGCCAGGAGTGACTGGGAGGGGAGAGCAGAGGCTGGGGAGGCTCCCTTGATGTGAGTGGCATCGAGTTGGCCACGCCTACCCAGTCACATGACTACCTAGCCACGCCCACCCAGCCATCATTAGGCAGATCATATTAGTGTTCTGCGGGATTTAAAATAATGAATTTAGTGGTCCCTGAAGTCCGAAACTTTCAAACTTCTTCTCGGCCAGATCCAATTTGAACCAGCTGTTTTGCCAATTTCTCCTGGTGGTTGCTTAGCTCCAACAACTGCTTCCTGCTGGGGTCCTAAGGAGCCTGGGCAGGGAGGGGAGGAGTGGCTGGGAGGGGAGGGGCGTATAGAGGCTGGCAAGGCACCCCCCCCCGATGTGAGTGACACGGAGTTGCCCACACACACCCAGTCACATGACCACCTTGCCACGCCCACCCAGCCGGTTGTTATGCAGGTCATTATAGCGGTCCGCAGGATTTTATAATTATTAATTTAGTAGTCCCTCAAGTCCAAAAGGTTGGTGACCCAACAACGGATAGAGTGGATGGAGGGAGGAGTAGAAGGAAAGATAGGAAGGAGAGGAGAAAGGAGAGGAATAGGAGAAAGGGAAAGGCAGAGGAAGAATGGGAGGGAATGTAAGAGTAGGAAAGAGGGGAGGAATGGGAAGAAGAGGGGAAGGGTAAAGGGGAGGAAGGGGAAGGAGAGAAGGGAAAGGAGAGGAGGCAGGAGAGGAATAGGAGAAAGGGAAAGGCAGGGGAAGAATGGGAGGGAATGTAAGAGGAGGAAAGAGGGGAGAAATGGGAAGAAGAGGGGAAGGGTAAAGGGGAGGAAGGGGAAGGAGAGAAGGGAAAGGAGAG